ATCAGGCCAAAGGCCCATCCAGTCCAACACTCTGTGTCACACAGTGGCCAGAAATACCAGTGCCATCAGGAGGTCCACCAGTGGGGCCAGGACACTAGAAGCCCTCCCACTGTTCCCACCCCCCAAGCACCAAGAATGCAGAGCATCCCTTGCCCCAGAGTCCCTATCTATACCTTCTGGCTAATAGCCACTGATGGACCTCTGCTCCATATGCTTATCTAATTCCCTTTTGAAGCCGTCCATGCTTGTAGCACCCACCACTTCCTGTGGCAGTGAATTCCATGTGTTAATCACTCTTTGGGTGAAGAAGTACTTCCTTTTATCCGTTCTAACCCGACCGCTCAGCAATTTCATGGAGTGCCCACGGGTTCTTGTATTGTGAGAAAGGGAGAAAAGTACCTCTTTCTTTACCTGCTCTTTCCCATGCATAATCTTATAAACCTCGATCATGTCACCCCTCAGTCGTCTTTTCTCCAAGCTAAAGAGCCCTAAGCGCCTTAACCTTTCCTCATAGGGAAAGTGTTCCAACCCTTTTATCATTTGAGTTGCCCTTTTCTGCACTTTTTCCAAAGCTATAATATCCTTTTTAAGGTGTGGTGACCAGAATTGCACACAGTATTCCAAATGAGGTCTCACCATTGATTTATATAGGGGCATTATTATATTGGCTGATCTGTTTTCAATACCCTTCCTAATAATCCCCAGCATAGCATTTGCCTTCTTTATTGCAGTCACACACTGTCTCGACATTTTCAGTGAGTTATCTACTACAACTCCAAGATCTCTCTCTTGATCAGTCTCTGCCAGTTCAGACCCCATCAACGTGTATTTATATTTAGGATTTTTGGCTCCAATGTGCATCACCTTGCACTTGGCCACATTGAACCCCATTTGCCATGTTGACGCCCACTCGCCCATCCTCGACAGATCCCTTTGGAGTGCCTCACAATCCTCACTGGTTTTCACCACCCTGAGACCAAGACTTTTTGGTCTCAGGACCTTCTCATCCCTATCCTGACTGGCGACAGAATGTACTTAAGAGTAGTATAGTAGCAAACCTTTGTTACTGTTATATACAGAGGCGAGGGGGGGGGTTAATGTTCCCCCATGATCTCACAGAGCAGTAAATGGATGCTTTCCCCACTCCTCCACCCTATGCATGCACGGTAAAGGAACATTAATCTGTTTTACTGGTTATACCTGTGGAACATAAATCACAACTCCCAGTTCAGGTGCTGAGATGTTAATCATTGTGCAGGTGGAAGATTTAATAGTCCTTTGTAAAGGCTACTTGGCTAAATGATGTAATCTTTTCAATAGCGTTAAAAATTAGCTTTATAACAAATACCATACCCAGTCTTTCTCCCTAATGGAAACCCAGACCTGCATTGTTCTGTTTCCATTTTATTCACACAACAACCCTGTGAGGTAGGTCTGGCAGAGTGTGTCACCTAGCAACCTTCCATAGCGGTCTGGGGATCTGAGTCTTAGAGACACATGACAGGTTGCTTAATAGCTCCCTTATTCCATGTTATCTGTTGTGAAGGTGATCTGGTTCAGGTTGTTCAAGTTCCCTTCATTGCACTGCAACTTCCATCATCATTCTGGGGTTAGTGGACAGTTTTCAAACATGCAGCATTATTTCCTGAGTTATGCCTGCCACAAGAGACCCCTGAGCTTTAGTTGCAAATAGCACAGTGTGGTGATGGTGGTGGTTTGACTCACCTGGGCCAGGATTTCCCCATGCCTTTCAGTTTTGGCCCTGAAACTCCCATGATCATCCTGAAGCTGGTGGCCAGTTCTGAGCCTCCGAGATTTATTCTCTGATGAGCCTCGCCTGCCAGTGTGGCGTAGTGGTCAAAGTGTCAGACTAGTATCTTGGAAACCCAGGTTCGAATCCCCACTGGTGCCATGGAAGCTCGCCAGTGCCACACTCTCTCAGCCTAGCCAACCTCACGGGGTTATTGTGAGGATAAAATGGCGGAGAGAAGAATGACGTCAGCTGCTTTGGGTCCCCATTGTGGAGAAAGGTAGGGTTATAAATGAAGTAAATAAATAATAACCCCATATGGGAGCCAAATTGGGGTGGGGGGGGGAGTATCAGAGTGCCAGTCCTTGGATTACAGAATTTGGCAATGTGGAGACGGGCAAAAGGTAGGGTTATAAATGAAGTAAATAAATAATAACCCCATATGGGAGCCAAATTGGGGTGGTGGTGGAGTATCAGAGTGCCAGTCCTTGGATTACAGAATTTGGCAATGTGGAGACGGGCACTGTTCACCCAGTAGAAGAGCATAAACCCAGGGTGCCACCTCAGTACTCTTCCCATTAACACCCTCTTCCAAAAATAACACCAAAGAAGAAGAAGAAGAGAAGAAGAGAGAAGAAGAGAAGAGATTGGATTTATACCCCGCCCTTCACTTGGAGTCTCAGAGCGGCTTACAAACTCCTTTCCCTTCCCCTTCCCACAACAGACACCCTGTGAGGTGGGTGGGGCTGAGAGAGCTCTTGACAGAAACTGCTCTTTTTCAAGGACAGCTGTGCCAGAGCTTGTGACTGACCCAAGGTCACATCAGCAGGTGCAAGTGGAGGAGTGGGGAATCAAACCCGGCTCTCCCAGATTAGAGTCTGCGCACTTAACCATGACACCAAACTGGAGGAGGAGGAGGAGGAGATTGGATGTATACCCTGCCCTTCACTTGGAGTCTCAGAGCAGCTTACAAACTCTTTTCCCTTCCCCTCCCCACAACAGGCACCCTGTGAGGTAGGCGGGGCTGAGAGAGCTCTGACAGAAACTGCTCTTTTTCAAGGACAGCTCTTGTCAGAGCCAATGCTCCATCTAAGCTGTGGAGTCCTGTGAGCAAAAATTCTACATTGTGAGCTCCTGGCATTAAAGTTGTGAGCGGCCAATTTGGCTCCTGCATAAATCAGTTTGCTCTGGAGCCCTCCTTCCTGAACTAAGACAAAGATGTGTGAGCCAGAGGCTAAAAACAGTGAGCTAGCTCACACCAGCTCAGCTTAGAGGGAACACTGGTCAGAACTACAGCTTGCCCAAGGTCATCCAGCAGGTGCAAGTGGAGGAGTGGGGAATCAAACCAGGTTCTCCCAGATTAGAGTCCGCGCACTTAACCACTACACCAAGAATAAAGCAGGGAGGAAGGAGGAGGAGTTGGGGGGGAATCTCACTCTCATGTTAAAATGCAGATGGCATTAAGGGAGACACCCTGATTGACATCGGAAGTGGACCCACCATCTACCAGTTCCTCTCGGCCTGCGAGTCCTTCCGAGAGATCATCGCCACCGATTTTACCGACCAGAACCGGGAGGAGATGCAGCGGTGGCTGAGGAAGGAGCCAGGAGCTTTCGACTGGAGCACGATAGCGAAATTCGTCTGTGAGCTGGAAGGGGACAGGTATGGGGTGCCAGGTGGCACCTGGTGCAGTGCGGGGCACCTGTTAGTTTCCCTCCAGGGGCTAAAGCAGGGGGGGGGAGGGTATTTTCAGCCAGGGAAATGGTGCTAGTGGAAGATTATTTATTTATTTAAAAGATTTACATCCCGTCGTCTCCAGAATCCTTAATTTCTATATATCACATCCACCCAGAGGGACTCAGTGTTCAGGGTGGCTTCCAAGTTGAAACATTAAACAAATACAGGGGGAAAAAACAGGTATGGGGTGCCAGGTGGCACCTGGTGCAGTGCGGGGCACCTGTTAGTTTCCCTCCAGGGGCTAAAGCGGGTTGGGGGGGAGGGCATTTTCAGCCAGGGAAATGGTGCCAGTGGAAGATTATTTATTTACTTAAAAGACTTACATCCCGTAGTCTCCAGAATCCTTAATTTCTATATACCTCATCCACCGAGAGAGACTCAGTGCTCAGGGTGGCTTCCAAGTTAAAACATTAAACGAATACAGGGGGAAAAAACCCAATGCACATAAACATTACAAAGCAGCAGTCTAAAAAATATAAAACTTTAAGCCCCCTTAACCATCTTAAAACTACCGGAAGGACAAGACAAAGCAAACTGCCCTCCAAGAAAACTCAGGCCCCGGTCACACGGAGGATTTGCCGCACTAAAGGCACGAATGTCAGGCGGATTTTTGGGGCGCGATCACACCGCAACATCTGGGGAGCGTAGTGTACCCGTGGTCAACCCGTGGCATCCCGCCGAAGATGCGGAGTTAAAAAGTTCCTCGGAAAGTGCACTGGTATCCGGAAAATGCGGGGCAGGGGCGGGCGTCTGATCGCGGGAGCACTAGTATCCTGTGGCATCCGGCGCAGGTCCCATTGCAAACCGGATGGTTTTCGTAAGCGCATGCGCACATACGCGTAATTGAAAGCAGTGCTGCTCCATGGAACTGTGCATGCGCACAAACGCAAAATGCTTGCTGCGCCGCTTCTTTGCCACACTCCAGCATCGCCGTGTGATCACCAGCTAACAGCCTAAGCGCGAAGACTCGGGGGACCGTGTGATCGGGCTACCGCGCTTTATTTTGCTCCGGGGCGAACAGCCACGCCTCCCCCCCTCGCGTTACCTGGCCCGTGTGACCGGGGCCTCAATATATCTGTTGTAAGAAGTGATCACAAAATATAACCCAATGTATGCTCTATGGGGTTGCCAGCCTTCAGGTGGGGCCTGCAAATCTCCCAGTATCACAACTAATCTCCAGAGGACAAAGATCAGTTCCCCTGGAGAAAATGGCTGCTCTGGAGGGTGGGCTCTAGGCCATTGGACCCTGCTGAGGTCCCTGTCCTCCCCAAAGCCCGCCTTCCTCAGGCTCCCCCCAACAAAATCTCGAGGTATTTTCTACCCTGGAGCTGGCGACCTTAGTGCTGTCCACAAGAACATCAGAAGAGCCCTGCGGAATCAGACCAGTTTGGTTTGGTCCAGCCACTGATCCAGACTGCATTTTCCTGATGTGTGCCCATACCTAGCCTTATCCCTTATGACTACCCATCTCACCATAAATGTTGTGGATGCCTGGAGGAGGATCTAGTGGGAAGGAAGGCCTGTGATAGTAGAGTACGGTGCCCAGGCAGGACTACACTGGAGCATCACTTCTAGAAGATGCTGAGCTAGACGGACCACGTTTGCATTTTCTTCCACCTCTTCCACTCATTTCCACTGTGAGCAGTGGGGTTCTCTTCCTTCCTTCCTCTGCCACATGCAATAGGGATGCCAGCCTCCAGGTGGGACCTGGGGACCCCCTAGGGTTGCCAAGTCTGGGTTGGAAAATACCTGGAGACTTTGGGGGTGGAGCCAGGAGAGGGCGTGGTTTGGGGAGGGGAGGGGCCTCAGCGTGGTACAATGCCATAGAGTCCACCCTTCAAAGCAGCCATTTTCTCCAGGGGAGCTGATCTCTTTCAGCTGGGGATCAGTTGTAAAAGCGGGAGGTCCCCAGGCCCCACCTGGAGGCTGGCAACTCTA